CTTCTCCCTCCTCTCCTTACTCTCCCCTCGTTCCCCTCTGCTCGCCGGCTACCACAGCATCACCTTGTCGAATGACCGAAAGTGTGCTAAGTGCGTGTTTATATAGCCGTTGGGGATGCTATCACAATCATGCCATTGCAAAACACTAATAGCTAAAGTCCTGTGAGCTACATGATTCTGTTAGCGGTTTGTTTATCCCATGAGCTTCCTTCTCACTCACTTCATTTTGCGGACGGACACACATACATACATACACATACATACACACACATACAGACATACAAACCGACACACAAAGTTAGCGCTTTATAAAATAGAAGGATACAATCCGCTTTTCGCACACTTTTTCAGACCTTGGCGAACGTTTCGCATGCGCTACTCTGGTATTTCCCATCCATCTTGTTGTAGAATTCCAGAAGCGCCTTATGAGATGGTACATGAGGTTCGGTTTACAAATTTGCATGTTCGATAGAGCGAACTCTTCTCTCTAAGGGAATTTTTACTTGAAAATATAATGGCCTGATCCTAATCATTTGTCGAAATTGATGAAGTCGGGAATCTGCTTCGCACCAGGGTCAACCCTATCGTTAAGCAACGCGTACTAGGGTGTAAATTTTTTACGGACCCCCCTGTGTGCTAATACTGGATGGAAGATGGATTGGATGTGGTGATTGTTGATGATATTGGATTGATGGTTGGTGATACGGTGCATGAATAGTGAGGTGGGTGTTGATAAGGAATAGATTATAGTGGAAAGAAAAATACTGTGTAACTACAATTCATGTACTCATTTTTTTTACTCTTCTTCAACTCATTTCAATAAATTTTCACTTCATTTCCGCCTTGGGAAAACAATAAATTTTCGTTTCATTTTGCGCTTGGTTAAGAATGAAGTAGAACGCATACTGCGTAATCCCTTTTTTGGAGGGGAGGGAAGTTCAGAGGTGGGTGTAAAAGTTTGTGCGAAATGGTTCACGCTCCCTCGGGAAAGGAAGCGTAAACCATTTCGCTCAAACTTTTACACCCACCCCTGAGCTTCCCTCCCTCCCTTCGCGCAAGCTTCACATCCACCCCTGAGCTTCACTCCCCTCCAAAAAAGGGATTACTTCATCCGATGTGACTGTCGCACCGCATCCCAGTTCTTACTGGAAGAGACCCGACGAAAACGATGGTCGACGAACGCAATGATAAGGAAAGTAAAAAAAGGTAAAAGTGGAACAACAAAGTGACGAAACCAAAAGAAGTGGAAACGCGTATTGATCGTTTCGAATGTGGTAGATCGCGCCCTGGCAATGGTCGTGGCAATGGGGCGCGTTTGCTGATTGATTACTGGTGACGAAGGGGATATTGAAATGTAAACAAATTTTTCCTCTTAAATTTTCAGGTTCCTCGGAAGACGGGGGTGGATTTTGGATCACGAGGCTCATCCTTCTTAAGTAGAGCGAATTTGTTCTTAAACAATCTGAAGTAATTAAGTTATTAAGCAAGAAATGAAATTGCACTGCAATTTTTACCTTCCACTTTCTAGCCCTATAACTTTCTTCGTATTCAAGCTTTTGCGGCGAAGTGATTTGATTTGAAAAATGTCTAAATTTTCTTTCAAAGTTAATTTAATAAAAATTTTAGCACGTTGGAACTTTTTCCTGGTCAAACGCGACTTTTTGAACCTTCAACGATCATAACTTTCTTCAAAGTCAGTCATTTGGGAAGCTGAACACGTATATAAAAACTACAGGATTCAAGCTTTCTAACAAGCACCCAAGCGTTCCTGAAAGATCAGTAGTTCAAAAATTAGTCCCGTTGTTACTTTTTTGGGGGTTCGCGTTACTATTTTTCTGAAACGCGACTTTTCATCCTTTTAAACGATCATAACTTCCTTCAAACTGATTTATTTGGGAAGCTGAACACGGTATGAGAAACTAGAGGGTTCAAGCTTTCTAACAAGCACCCCAACATTCCTGAAAATTCAGTACTTCGAAAATTAGTCCCGTTGGGACTTTCTTTTGAAGGGGCATTCTTCAAGTCATTTTCTTAAGAACGTGGGTTTTTTTAGGTTTCACAGGCCGCAACCTCCAGGGAAAACAATATCGTTTTGACATAGGAAGTGTTAGAATGCTTCGAGCATGCGCTTGCAGTGGCACACCCTGCCTTGGTGTGCGCCATGCCTCGGCCGCGCTTCTGATTTCGCTGGTTCGATTGGAAGCTCATTTAGAAGGAACTAGTTTACAGATGCTCTACTATCAATTTTCTTGCGTAAACAACTTCCAATTGCTCTTTCCTTCCGTACCAGCATCTATTATCAGTAGGGAGATTAGTAGAAATCCGCCGACCAGCGAGATAGTACGACCCCCCTCCAAGCTAAACCAAGTACGACCCCCCCGTTGGTACTTGTACCAACGTAGGGTTAGGGTGTGCACACCTGGCTTCGCACACTATTCCGGCATCGACCCCAGGTTCAGTTTCCGTTTTATTTGTTTTTTCTTCTTTTTTTTTTTCCTGAAGCAAAGCAGTTGCTGAATTCATTCGCACTCCTCTTCAGAGTGAAGACACACTCATAGTTTCGAACAAATATCGGGTTTAACAATAGCTGGTCTTTGACATTGGTATTTGGCGTTTGAAAACTTTCAACAATGTTTGAAAACATGTAAAGCGCTCTGTTGGAGTTTGATGGTTGCATACTGAGAAACGGATTGGTTCTGATGCCCCATTCACGCTCAACGGAACGAACATCACCGAATGCTCCAGCTACGTGTACCTAGGTCGGGAAATCAATATGATGAACGATCTAGCCAGAGCTGAGCAGGAGGAAACGAGCGGCTTGGGGAGCGTACAAGAACATCGAGGGAGTAGTGAAGAAGACGAAGAACATCCGGCTCCGTGCCCACCTCTTCGATTCCGCTGTCCTTCCTGCCCTAACCTACGCCTCAGAGACTTGGACTCTGCGCAGGCAGGACGAGCATGCGGTCAGCGTTATCCAACGCGCTGTCGAGAGGACGATGCTAGGAGTAACCCTATACACGCAAGTGCAGAGGGGAATCCGGAGTGCCGAACTACGCCAACGATCGAAGATCAGGGACGCTGCCGTTTTCGCCAAGGAATCGAAGATAAGGTGGTCATGCGATTTTGCGATGACCGTTGGACCAGAGCGGTTACCGACTGGATCCCTCGGGACGTCAAACGAACACCTGGACGACCGCCGGCCCGATGGTCAGACTTCTTCACGAAAGCTCTGAACGAAAGGAATGAAGGACTTCGTGTCCCTCGAGCGAGGAGGATCCACTGGACAACTCTTGCACGCGACAGGGACGAATGGAGACGTTGCTGGCGCCCGCTCGAGCAATTCGATGATCAACGGGACGACAGGTGATACAGGTAATACATTTAAAGCGAAGGCTCGAACTACGTCGCAATCATCGCGTTTTATTAGCAGCATGTTCGAGCAACATATCATGAGATAACGATACGGGAAACTCCACAATCAAAATTCCGGGCATTCAAAATATATGGGAGCACTAGTAATTTTGCCCCACCCTGTACTGACTTGGAGGGGGTCAGTTTGACTATTGACCGGGAAGGTGTTTGAACCTATCATGGAACTTTGAATTGAAACCCTCGATAGAGCTTCAAACGCTGATTACAAATATGGAAACTAAAACTGCAAAATGAACCTGCCAAGGAAGTTGTGAGCAGTCAAAGTTGGCTAAAGCGTTACATATGAACCGTGCTACCGTCGGGGCATTTCAAGAGTCGCTGTGGTGTAGTGGTAGTGCTCTCGAAATTTGCACTTGAACGACCACTACTCGACGGCGTCTTCTAAAGGCCGGCGGCTAGCACGGTTCATATGTAACGCTTTACTTCCAGCCAACTTTGACTGCTCACAACTTCCTTGGCAGGTTCATTTTGCAGTTTTAGTTTCCATATTTGTAATCAGTTTGAAGCTCTATCGATATATCTGGGTCTCAATTCGAAGTTCCATGGGAAGTTGAATGCCTTCCTTGTAATCCATGCAACGTTGAGAATCTTCCATACAAACTATCAATCATCACATACTTCGCGATTGCCGACCAGTCTACCGCACTCGCAGAGATGGCCGCTACTTTTTTAGAATGTGCCTATGCTCTGGAATGTTGGCAGCTCACAGCACGTTTTGCTCATCCAATACATACATGAACATAGCTTTTTCGTGAATTCTTTTCGCTTAACTTAAGCGTTTCATACGACGACATCCTCATTCGGATGGCCAAATGCACCATTGATATTCCGTGCCGATGGTATGGATCAGGCTATTATATAATGGAGGTGACCACATATAAAAATAAAAGCATAGGGCATACGGTGTAGAGGTTCGTAATGGCATATTAAATACACATAAAAGTCTGCTTGTGTAGTCATGCTTTCAAGCATTGTTCTTAACGGTCTTCTAACTACTACAGTTCTGTCTTTACAACTAACTTACACAATGACTGGTACGCCTACCTAGCACTTTGTTTAAAAAATACTTTGAGGACATTGTCGATACCTTTAAGGGACTCTCCAGTGCAAAGGCAAGCCGGCCGCATACCAGCCAGTCAAACTCAAATTCACGCATTTATGTGAGTTCAAAGCACAATTATGAACGCTGGTGTGGGACATTTTCGAGCAGAGCACCCAAAGCAAGCCAGGGATGAAGATTTTGCCTAAGCTCAGGGAGAGAGAAGGCACTACGGGTGAGAGGAAAACTTCTTATGCAAAGCGAAAACCCCTTCGAACAGGGACTTTTTCCAACCATCTGGTCTTCTTTCTTCTGAGCTCAGGGCGAAATCCCTCTTCCTAGTTCATAATCGATTTCTAGTAATACTGGATGCCGTTCAGCATAAAAAGGGAAGGACGCTTGGGTGCGCTAGTAAAATTTCTCAACTTTGAAGTATTTCTCCTTCTAAATCCCCACTACCACATAAAGGAGCCACTAATCTAATTGCCCCGCGAAAGAAGAAAAATTAAAAATGTTTTGAGTTTCAGTGTTCAAAGGAAGAACAGCTGCCAAGGCGAGAACTAGAGCAAACGGGGCATTCAGAATAAGCGCTAGAACGCAAGCACGATCCTGGCAGAAAGCTTATGCATGGGTTGAACACGACTGTGACAAAAAGAACCGAGTGAGTTTTTACTTCAGAAAATTGCTTAGAAAATTCAGTACTTGATTCTGTACTTTCAAGCTGGATAATGTAGATAGCCTCCGCGTGCGGTGACCTGCTTTCGCTTGCGCGACGACCTCAGGGAGACTCTTGTATCGCATCCCCATATCACCACTTAATCATTAGCTAGCGTTATTTCTCCCTGTGTTCACCAAATTATCAGCGCAATTATCGTCCTAACCATGAGTTGTGAGTCATGCAATTGCATTGCTACACACGTTTTGATGCTTTTGCCAGATAAAAGAACACTACATTTGTAGTCTCTCACACATTAAGGAAAGTTCAAAGTCGAAGTAGGCGTCTTATGTAAGAAACATAACTTGTCAGATGGCTTGAGAGCGCTAATGCACGAATCTGTCTCGAATGTTCCGAAACGATTTCTTTGAACGTGCTTATGAAGAGAGCAGAGTGTGCGCAGCACTAGAGGCCAGTGCTGACGGGCAAGAGGTCGTGATATCGACTTCTTATCGAGTTTCCATCTTTTTTTTCCTCAAAGGCATGCCCCTGGATCACATTGGTGTGGCCCTTACCCACGAATGCGAATGTATTGGTGCGAAATAGCCGGCAGTGAAGGAAAAAGAAAAAGAATCCGTCGAAAACGAATAGGTTAAGTACTTACTCACCTTCCTAATCGGGTGTGCTGAGGCAATGAGAGACTAGACTACGTGCAGAGGCGAGAGAGCGCAACATATGAGAGAGCGCCAGACAACAGCTATGAAAAGGAAAAAATCTGCAGCTTCAGCAGCTTACTTTGCAAGGCCCAAGCGCTCTTGTCGGTTGGTTTCCGTGCACGTGAACGCCACATTTGTGATTGTCCTCTAGGGTTCTATACTACAGACCGAAGAGAAGCGTTCACACGACCTCTGCCTGGGTTGTGCCTTTAAAGGCAAGCTCCGGGATTAAACTGGTGTGTAAGTGCTTCCCACGACGATGACTGAGCCGAATAAATTTAAAGAAGTAAAGAAAGCAAAAGAAACCATCGAGAGACGCTAAGATCGACTTAACCTTCAGTTAGGTTGGATGCGGTACGACGGCGAGACAGGGCGATCAAAGAAGGCAAAGCTCGCGAGTGAGCACGCTGATCTCAACATCAATCGCGGTGTAGAGAATAAAGGCTCGCCTTTCAGCGAATAGCTCCAGTGGCCCACGCGTTTTCCTGGTATTGCTGGGGAGGGGTTATTGATTATATCAATAACCAGATTGGTCCCCCGGCAACCACCGGGACCTCCTTACCTGCGTAAGCTTTACTCCTTCCAATGTGCTCCCATCCACTGGTGACATGGACACCTCGTGGAGGTGGCACGCATGCACAAAAAAGTGTCTTATATAGTAGAAGGCATTACCGTAATCGTGACATGACCTTAGAATGATATTAATTGGACCTCAGGTCTTTTGGCGGTTAGCTCCCCTCGCCCTTCTCCATCTTATCCTATTCCCTCTACTGCTCTCCAGCTGCTATTGCAGCATCATGTGGAATGAATGAGACCATGCTCAGTAGGTGTTTATATAGCCGTTGGGGTGTTATCACATTGATAGCACTGCAAAACATTGATTGCTAAAGTCATAGTTACTCGATTTTGTTAACGGTCTGTTTACTTCACGAGTTTCCCTACCACTTCATTTTGCGGACGGACACACATACATACATACATACACACACATACATACAGACATACAAACCGACACACAAAGTTAGCGCTTTATAAAATAGAAGGATAGTTTGATGATATCGCTTGAAAGCGGTGTTATCGACATATTATTTCCCAGTTTAAATATTGATGCAGTTTCTAAGATTATTGCTCGTCTACGGAGTTTCTCTAGAGATATTGATAGGCCATATTGAAATTATTGGTCTATATGTTGTATTGATGATATTGATAATATTGCTACTTCATCCCTAGAAACAGGAAAAATTATATTCTTTACTATAAAATAGTAGTTCAGTCAGTTTGCTGTCCCGGAGCCTCATCAGGACCTAAATGTTATAAAACACAAAGAGGCACCAAAATTTATTTCAAAAGAGTCCCAAAAGTTCACAAAGTATTCGAAAAACTCCAAAATTCCAAAAAAAAAACACGAAAAGTTTCAAAGAACTCCTTTGAAATCTTCTGCTATATTTCGGTCGTAATAACATGACTACCACTGCAAAAACCAATACTGATGTTTGCCGAACCATATATGTACTACATGTGTACTGCTCGCCAAGATTTTCTCCTTACGGGAGCCGCGCCGTTGGAGTGGAATTAGGTGACTTACCACTTACCCTCTGCTTGAATAGTGGAATTAAGTGACCTTACCGCTCACCCTCTTAAATAGTAGCGGACGGACTGTGACGGTCATTGCATGTGATATTGAAAAACCACATGGCATTGGGCACGTAGTTAATTTAATAGTTGTAGAGCGTCACGTAGTTCGTCCTTACTATTTATTTCGGGTGATAGTTTTCTTATTTCTAATGCCTCCAATAGCCTCCTTTCCACCGGGTTCCCTATGGAGCGGTGTAGCACCTTAATGGTCAACGAAGGCGGTTCTCCCAAATGTGTGCTTTTGCCGTGCGGTGCTTGGAGAAGCTGCTGTTTGGATACGAGGCTGGGTTTTGTAACGCCCTCCACAGTCGGACGACGCTGGTTTTGTCTTCCAATAGAGTAACGACTCGAAGCGTCTTAAGTTTCATGCAAAAGTTGTTCCGGGAACATGTGCTTTTAATGGAGCAGCCAGGCCAGTCTCCTAACCGTAACAAACAGTGAAGATAGAGCTGCAAAGACGTTTGCTAAAAAAAGAGCTTCCAATATTACCGAAAATCTAGTCCTATTCGAAAGAACATGGATGTTGATGCCTCACAGGATGTAGTTCTTAAATGACCTCGTATTTGGCCAGGAAATGAATACTATCTTTCCAAGAGCCTATCGCCATTGTCCAAGATGTTTTGAAATCAATGTTCATGTAGATGATTAAGCTGTCGGTTATAAGTTATTTTATTAGGTTCGCCAGATTGAAATGTCGTTTTCGATCATCGATTATTTTCAGTCAAAAACAATAATGAAGCGCATTAACCTGAACCATCTCCTTCACCTGTGTCACAGGCTCATCACCTTTCGTTACGCAAAGCATGGATGCCTACCGCGTAGAACTCTTTCTGGTTCGACTCGAAGAAGTTGGGCACTCAAATTTTGACGTCGTCGCGGTTATCGAATTGGTTTGCTGCTAAGGAGTGTTGCGCTGACCTGGGTCAGTGATAGTCGGACGGCGCCAGACCTGGGCTATATGGCGCTGGAGGTAGAACGTCCTAGCCTTGTTGCGTGATTTTAGACGCCATTGTCCTCGTATGGTTGCAATAGTTCTACATTGCCGAATTCACCCACTTCGAGCGTAGATGAAGCTCAGTCCACTGGGCGGCTGTGCGCCGGCGCTTCAGCGTGACGTCTGGACCCGGCATCAAGCCACTCCATAGTGCGCGTTTCAGAGAGGCCCCTTAGCTGGGCCAAGCAATCTCGGCGACACAGTCATTTCTTCACGTATTGAGAACATCGCTGTTAAATGCGGTCAGAACGAACCTTTTTCCTCTTCAAGTGCGAAGTTCCAGTATTGGCAACCAGTACTGCTTGCTCGCGTCGCTCAGAATAGGCCGAACCCATTTTCTCCTGAAAGGCCTTAACAGTCGCACGTAGGAACTTTCAAATTTTTCTGTTGACACAACTGAATCTCCATGCAAGTTTTGTGCGGTTGTCGAGGACTCAATTCGTTGGCTTTCGTCAAAGTGCATCAGAGAATAAATGTTACTGCTCACTATGCACATAATGTGGAGTTGTGGCCCTTTTTCCTTTGCTTGAATATATAAGCTCAGACGATTTTATGATCAGTCATCTTCAAGCAAAAGTTTTGGCTCGAAGAACATCCGCTCAGTGGCGCCTAAGATTTCGCAATATGCGCGCTGAATCGCTCTCTCGAATGAATGGTCTCCCATCCTAAGAGATTGTGTTTAAGCTGAGAAACAAAGGCACAAACGGAAGCGACATTTCAATCTTGCCAGCTAATAGTTGAATCAACTGACCACGTGATATCTCGCCTGCGTTCGATAAATTCTTAAACATTCAACTCAGAATGGGGTTAAAAAATTCCTAGATAAACATCTAGGAATTTTTTAACCCCATTCTGAGTTGAAGAGTGATATTTTTTGTGTGGATTAGAAAATCCTCGCTAAGCAATTGGTGCAAACTAAGAGGAGATTCAGGCATTTCAGAAGAGAAAACCTCAAAAAACTGCTTGTTAATTGTTCTTTGGCCGCTACTCTAGCCTCTCAGTTCACTCTATACTACATTTTTTAAAGAGACGATGTGATATCATGAGCTACATTCCGATACCTTCCAAGTTCAAGGACGAAATCTACAAGCTCAACATTTTCGAGCTTTCTGAGCACGTTTATTATAATAGTTGTGATGACACTGATAACTGATCAATAAATTGTTTGTTATTGTTGTTAGAAGTGTTTTTAATGTGCGTAATGTGCGATTTATGTTTATCTATATCTGAAACTCAGTCTCACATTTAGATCAACATAAGTCTTCGGGACAGGACAATTTTAAAAGAAGTGTTCTTGTTACAAGTCAGGCTTTAGATCGCATCCAACGTTCTTGGAGATACCGTCAAAGTGAATTCACAGCTTCGACCAGGTGATTTAGAAAGTAGAAATCCGAGAAAGATCGATACAAATCGAGAAAATAGAAACATTGAAACCACTCTATTGATCGTCTTCGTGAATTACGCGGTTCAGGGACTTGATGGATAAGGTACTGTTAAGGGGATCGACAAAACGGGATCGATCTAATCGACCCCACCCGGGCTAATTTTTGAAGCCATAAGTGTTCTTCATTCATACTTATCTTAATTTTATCCCTTATAGGCGAACTCCGGCATCAGCCTGACTTGTGGGAAGAATACTGCGAGGGAAATTATAGGGATAAATCTTGTAAATCTTTTCACCGTGCTCACCGTCTTAAGAAGGTGACATCACTTATACCCACCATCGGGCTCAGGTAAGTCTACGGGCTCTAGCGTGAATGAAAAGCGAAAGCGCTAGCGTCAAGCTCTTCAATCAATCAACTGATGGATAGTTTACCGAATAAAGCTGCTCCAAATGTACTATACCTCTTCCTACCATCGTTTCAGATAAGGTCGTAGTGAACCACTTCGTCGAGAACTTCGATGAGCTCGAACCGGGCATCATGTTTCCGTGGGAAAATCTAAATAAGTACAATCAATAAGTAAATAATTCGTTTTACCCATAGAGCACCCAAGGCAAGCCAGGAGAGCGAAGGATTTTGCCGGGGTCAAAGAAGGAGAAAGGAACTCCGAGTGAGTGAAGAACTTCCCACGAAATGCAAAAACCCTTTTGACAGAAGGTTTGTTCAGCCACTTCTAAGTTCCTTTCGTTTAAGCTCTGACAGGAATCCCTTCATCCTCCTGGTTAACAAGCGTTTCCTAGCAACACTGAATGCCGTCCAGCACAAAAAAGGCAAAAGAGCAGTGTTGTAACAACGCTTGTAGATATTTTTCATCTTCAAAGATTTCTTCCGCGAAATCTTGATTACCACAACCCACACAAAGTATCCACCTACATACCACACTCTAGGTACAAAAAACATGTAAATTGAAAAATGCTGATATTTCGATTTTTGCGTTAGTAGGAAGAGCGGCTGCCAGGGCTAAACTCACTAGAACAAAGGGAGATTTCAGAGTATGCGCTAGAACTAGAGCACGATCCTGGTAACAAGCATATGCCATGCCGTTAACAAAGCATATGCCTCACTTTTCAGTATATTTCGGAACATCCACAGTAATAAACCTGAAGTCTCCTTCGTCTTTATAAGGCATATGTCTTGCCTCATTTAGAATACTGTTCCCAAATTTGGAGTCCAAATCGCATAAAGGACATAAGAAAGATCGAAAGAGTTCAGCATGTAGTAACTAGGTTAGTTTTTTCTCGGGTTTATGGTTTCCGTTCTGAAGGTATGCCAAGCTACGGCGAACGATTAAAACTGTTCAACCTAGAAAGTTTGCATTACAGAAGAACTTTTCAGACCTTGTGTTTGCCTTTCGCATATTACGTGGTGAAATGAAAGTGAGCCCAAGTAGGTTCTGGGTTTTTAGGCCTTGTAGTGACAGAGGAAATGGTTTTGTTCTGCATTACCCCAAAATTCAGAGCAAAAGATCTTCTCTCTTTTCAACTTCTTCCCATACCGAGTTGCCAGGTGGTTCCAGCTGCTGCCTATTGAAGTGATGAAGTCTGAGAATAGCCAGATTTTCAAGGCTAGGCTGAAGCAGATTGATTTGCTTCGGGTCTTGGGTGTTGACGATTGCTTCTAACCTCTTCTTTTTCAGAAGTTGTTTGTTCACAGATTCTATTTGCTATCAGGCTCGTTCCCCTACGATGGGCAGTGTAGATTCCTGTGTTGTTTCCTGAGTGTCGACATCAGTGGAAGTGTTGAAGTGGTCCACGATTTCGTTTCGATGTCTTCTCGTTGGACGCTGGAAGTGCTAAAGTGGTCTACTATTCTCGTTGATGCCTGTTACGATGTGGAAGCCGGGACACTTCGCGTACAAAGGGCATCGCGTTCCATGCCTTCTTCAGCACATGCTCATCTTCGGAGTTTACGTATTTTCCTCGGATGCTGGTCTCCAGGATTCGCTCTCTGAAGTGTGCTTATGCTGGCTTGAGTTGCCGGACTTGTGTCGACTCTTTGATATTTGCAAATTGAGTAAATCGTATATGCTGCAAGACTTCACTATGATATACCAAAAGTACCAATATTTTAGCAAGCGTGATGAGAATATGTGCTGGAAAAATGATGACGTCTGGCAATTACAATATCATTGTATAGACAATTCCTGATAGAAAGTCACGCTGGGCCGTTCTTTTTTCCAATCTCGTCTCTTACCCATGATATTTTTTTATTCATTTATTAGGTCATCTCATTCAAACATGTCCACGGTTTTATTCGAATAAAATGAACAGCAGGAAAGATAAAAAGCTAATACTTTTGGTGTGAAGTCAAGCAGATCTTGTCGTTGTTAACGACCCGATCCCAGCGTCTAGAAAACACTGGACACCGCGCAGCTTCTTCATTTCAACAAGTATAGACAAGATGCTTTTGATGTCAGTATAGATGATCAACGAATTGTCGTAGCGCTTCTGAACGAGTAGGGGGTTCAGTTCGATAAAACAGCTGAGGTCGCATGGCTGCAGTTAGGAAAATACGGCTGATAAGAAGAGGCCACAATATCCGTTCGATCGAAATACTCGTGAGCAATATGAGCTATGTAGGGTCTGGTATCGTCATAGGTGATGATATCGTTATTGTAGTTTTATACTGCTATTCCTTTGTCAATTTGTTCGCTAAGAAACAAGCCATAAACTTGAGAAACGCCGGAGGTTTTTTCCCGATCGTATAACTTCGTATAGATCGATGTTATACGA